AGGAGTGGGGTTTGCTCTCACTTTAGTAGTTTGCCCTGTCAACCCCACTCTGTTCTACCACTGAAGATGTTACCTAGCCGGGTAACGAAACGTTTGCAAGAAAACAACCAAGCTCAGAGAGCCCCAAGAACTCCACAAACCAGATAGGAATCAATACTTGTCCGCAGCCTAGAACGCAGGGGCGGATCCTTCTCTGACGGGTAAGTCCACATAGCAGCAACGTTCCCCGCGAGAAGAAAGCCTGGAAACCGCAAGCAGCGAGAGTTAACGACCACGGAGCACGCGAGTCCCCTACGCACCTGAGTTCTGATCAAAGGCCTGGCTAGATCTCCCACTGCGCGGATGCTCGTACCAGCATCGGTCACCGAAACGGCAGCTGCCCTGTAAGAAGTAAGAGCACACCAAACCAGAATTCCGAGCCATGAGAGGGCAACGCCTCACCGCCGATCCTACGAGTTTCCCATCTTAGCTCCCACTACCATATCCGCTGCGCACATGTTTTTCTCTGGGGCTATGCGGAACAGATTTTACGATCTGGGACGTGCCTTTGCACGCAGCGATTAAGGCGCCTGTTGATGACGTAAAGACGACAAGGCTATCCTGGCGGAAGTAAATAGAAGGGCCTCGGCAGATTGCCTGCCTGCGTTCTAGCAAATAATGTTTTCTTATGTTCCTGGTTACTATTAATTAAAAAAAACACGCACCCAAATATATAGTGGTAGGAATTTAGTGTGCCTTTAAAGGCTGTATCCAGCAAGTATAATACAGTAGAAACTCTCCGTATTGTGCTGTTAATGTCAATCCCCACTTTCATTTATTTTATTTTGTATTTTAGATTTGTATTTTAAATTAGAGGGGTTGGGAAACGGGGCAGGAAAACCTGTTTACACAACATGCTCAGTCACAAACTAGTCAAACGTATTTTAGTGTAGTGTGTTGTGCAGGCCCAGCAACCAAACACATACTGGTTGGATATAAAACTTCTAAGAGTGAACTTCTGTCCATTAATTTCAAATGACTTGTTTCCCAATTTGAGGTAATTTTGTAGTTCAAAATAACCAAAATACATCTTTATTTTTAGTCATTTTTTACTAAATCCAATAAGCCATATAAATGGCCTCTCAGTAATAAAAAAAAGCTTTGAGGATAAAAGGGGAAGACACTCCTAATCCAATGCACAGGCTATCTTACTTTGCCTTCAAATTTAAGTGACAAATTCCCAGCGTCTACCAGGAGCATGAGTGAAAAAGGGCTATTTACTTATGAGTTTTTTGGTTTATCAAGAACATGTAAATGTCTATGGTGGGAAATAGGTTTAAACAGATTTCATTCTACTTCAATTCAATAGTAATATAAAGCTTGTTTTGGTATGAGAAGGCACCATAACACCTTGTTGCTAAATTCTATCTGTAAGAATTCAAATCAGAACCCAAGAAAATATCTTCATAAGCAGATATAAATATTTCACATTGTTCATCATAGATTAGTGTTGATATAGACAGATGGTTATTCTTATGGGCATGTGTGGAAAGATATAAGCTGTATAAAAAGAATAATTCTTGAAGATTGATATATGTATTTAGAGGGATTCCTATGATAATTTCTTTGAGGTATTTTAAGCAGCTTAACTTTTAATTTCAGAATGTGGTCCAGAGCATGTGTGGATCAAAACAGTCATCTTGTTTTGATCTAGTACCCTAAGTCTATCAATAGAAGTTTGGGGAAATTACAAGGTTTATGATATAGAAATATGTTGTATATATTTAATTGAATTTGCAACTTACCAATATATGAATAACAATGGTTTTAGTTACTGTAGAAACATTGTAAATCTGGAGTAGTAAAATCTTGGATTTGTGTTCACTCTCCTTTTGAACTGGTTAGTGACAAAATTGAAAGATTGATCAGTTTTACTTTATGTGATTGTGTTTTAATGGTGTATTTAAAAATTGAGTTGTTTGCTATAAATTCTCCCCTTTTTGTTTTGTTGTTTCTTATTTTGTATTTTGCATTTCTGGTTCTTTTTTCTTAGCAAAGCAATAACATTTTAAAAAGTAGTTTAATACAGAACAAAGTGATGGTAGTGTTTCAGTGTTTTATCATCTTTCTTTATGACCCAATTTGTCCCATTTGATTTATCTTCCTTGGAGGGCCTCCAAATGATAGAAGCCAATAGTATAGTAATAGATACATTGTGAAGTGGATTTTGGCAGCTGCAATGTGTTCTATGAAGGTGTAACTGTAAAAATGTCTATTTCACCACAACTATTGAAGAGGTAGGGCCTTATCTTCTAAATGTAGCCATTGTTAAATTATAATTGTGCCCCTAACAGAGAGCTGAACTAACCCCTAATTTTCTTGCCTGGAATTCTATTGTTTACATCTATGTTGGAAGCATACAATTTGGCATTACATTCAATAATCCTGAAAAGAAAGTGTTGAGACATATCATAGTAACATCTTTGCAATTAAATATAGAACCTGAAGTCTACCTCTGTACTAAAAGAAGACTGTAACAGCATACATTGTATTATATACATATACAATATACAGTATTAGCAACCTCCAGCGTGGTTCCCAGAGACACCTCTCTTGAAATCTGTCAATTTCCAGCCCCTTGTTTTTTAAATTGGAAGATAACATGCTGTAAACCAAAGCATCAGCCTCCAATGCCACCTTTATTTCCAGAAATGTTTTTAGATCCAAATAAAAATGGCAGGTAATTACAGTTCAATTAAGCTATAATTAAGCTTCATTTTGAGCTGTACCCAAAGAAATGTAAAGCAAGACAGTGACAGAGCTTCATGTCTGGTTGGAGAATAGTAATTGTGAAGGACAGTGCTTTGTGATTGGTGGGGAGAGGTACTGATGTTCACCATTTTTTATTTACTGTTTTGTCAGGAATATTGTCTGTGGTTGGTGCTTCAACTGTTTAATTTTAATCATCAATCTGTATTCTGTGAAACTGATATTGTGCTGTGATTTGTGAAGCCAAATATTAACATAACTTGGCATAGGAATCTCTGAATTTAGAGTTTGTCTTCCATGAAAACGTTATTGGGGCAGGAAACTGTGTTCAAAATAGTAGAGTGCTTTTGTTTTTTTAAGCTTAGATTTCCATCTTTGCTACATACCTAGGTTTTTCACAAAGTTATTTTGCCTTCTAGGAGAATGATGTTTTGTGATTGGCCACATCCATCACGTCCATAATTTTGTGCAGGAATCTAATACTGAGTTCACCCATCACGCTAAGCCATAAAGCAATCTGCTTTGTTTTGGCTTAGCATATTTATGAACCTAATGGTTAATGAAACCAAGGTTTGGAGTATATGTGAGATTGTTTTACTTTCATAATCCATATATGGCAGGTGGCTCCCCAATTAAGGACCACTGAATGAAAAGATTCCTGCATTAGCATTTTGCCAAAATAATCTCCATAGTACATCCTGCATGTGATCCAAGAGTCACAAATCAGTGGCACAGATGCTGGGATCTGCTCATCTCACAAACTGGTTTAGATCTGCTCATCTCACAAACTGGTTTACTGCATCCCTAGAAAAAGCTATACCAGAAACAGTGGCTTCAACCACTAACATCTTGTACTATTCAACAACTTTCTACGTGTATGGGACACAGTTAAGAAAAGGACTGCAATTTTCTATTGCTACAACAGAATTTGTAGCAATATTACAGATTTTTTTCTTTTTTAATTAAATCTGGTGCTGCCTGACTCCAGTGTGACTCTGGATGGCTCAAAGTACAATAAACAAATAAAAACCAATATAATAAAAACAGAACCAGACTAGAAAATAAGGAAAAAGAATAAGATGGTGAATCCATCAAACTATACAGAACATATACCATCAACATCTGGGGTGGGGATCCAGCCACCTTAGGTCAAGGCCCAAGAAAACAGCCGGGTCCTAATGCCATTAGGGTGCTATTTAATGGGATAAAGCCAATCTTCCATGCAAGATTGCTTGGACTGCTGATATGAGGAATATTAAATAAAAACACCACAACTTTAAGAACAAATATTTAATAAAATTCACTGACCCACAAAGCCTCATTGAGGTATTTGCTTCACTTCCAAAATTTTGATACATAACAAAATTATTCAGTATACAAGATTTTTCAATAGATACCCACCAGTACACAAAAACAATCA